TATATATATATATTGTTTATTCATTTTTATATAATTATATATATGCTATATGCTATATTTAATTTGGGAACTTCTGACTGAAACAGATGTTTTTTTTTCATTCAATGTTTCATTCGAAGGCTCGTCCTTCGCTCTGATTGTGTTTGAAGTTTTCAGCGTTATTTCTCTTAAACCTTTTCAGTTTGCTGTATATTCATTGTGTTTCATTTAGTTTATTTATATATTTGTCTTGCAGTTTAAAAATATTTATTAAGGAAAGGCTGTTTTTGACTATTTATTTTCTTTGCGTTGTTTGCACACAAAAAGTTTTCATGTGACTTTGCCCATAAGCCTACTATCAAAGTTGCACTTTGTGATATATTTATTTGTTTTACTTTCTTTACCAAACGGTGTGTTTTCATTATTGTTAGCAAGTTCATAAGTTGTGATTTGTGCGAATGTTATACTTTTATGAATAAACTATGACTATTCGGTAAAGCTCCTTGCCTTTTTTCCCCCGACACATTCATAATCATATATTTTGTCAGTGTCATTTTATGCGTGTACAAGTTCTTAATGTCTATTTTTAACGCTTATTATTATGGTTTAGTATTTCTCTACAATGTAAAACAATGTTACAAATAACATTCTTTCTCAGCCCTTCAACTCAAACCGTTTCCCCATATATTTGCTTAAGTGGTTAAATGAATATAATAAACAGGCGATTAGTCGACTAATGGCTTTAATGAATGACTACTGGTCGACTAGGAAAATCTTTAGTCGGGGGCAGCACTAGACCTGACTATAGTGCTCAGAGCACTACAGCAGGGCCCATTTAAGCCTTTGCAGTCAGTTGAGCTGAAGTTTCTATCAATGAAAACTTTGCTCCTGCTTGCACTGGCCTCCATCAAGAGGGTAGGGGACCTGCACACATTTTCGGTCAATGAATCGTGCCTAGAGTTTGGGCCGGCTGACTCCCAGGTTATCCTGAGGCCCCGGGCCCGGCTATGTGCCCAAGGTTCCTACTACTTCCTTCAGGAATCAGGTGGTGAACCTGCAAGTGCTGCCCCTGGAGGAGGCACAAAGCTTCAGGACCTCAGATCAACTCTTTGTCTGTTTCAGAGGCCAGCAGAAGGTGAATGACATCTCTAAGCAGAGGATGGCCCACTGGATAGTGGATGCCATCACCCTGGCTTATCAGGCACAGGGTGTGCCCTGCCAGTTCAGGTTGCAAGCCCACTCTACTAGGAGTGTGGCATCCTCCTGGTTGCTGGCTCGTTGCGCCTCGCTGACAGATATTTGTAAAGCTGCAGGCTGGGCGACCCCCAACACGTTCGCTAGATTCTATAGCCTTCGTGTGGAACTGGTATCCTCCTGTGTTCTCATCTCAAATGGGTAGAAGCACTGAGAGGCCCCGGTTTAGTGTCGGCTTGCTAAAAACACTCCAGAGAGTCCGTACTGTAGACCCTGTTGAGCTCCTCCGTCCCCTCGGCAGCCAGACGTGGTGGAGCGTCTGGCGACAGGCCCTCACTCCATGAATCCATGAGAACTGTTAGGGGGCTGGGTTCCATATGTAGTGACCTAAGTGGATCCCATATGTATAAATTCCACGGTATAGCTTAGAGCATGTGTTTCCTCGGCAGACTTTCTACCATTTCCCAAGAGGGTTACAACCACCTCTAAATCTTCTATATGCACCTATACATATGTGTAAGTGCTCCCAAAACCTCCTTCGGGAAGGATGGGAGCGGAGACGTCATGTCCTGTCGCCAGAGCTGCTGGGTCACCGGTTCGGCTCCTCAGTGAAAACCTGAGTATGCGTTGCACCTGCTGCCTAATTATACTCGCGCTGCGATCAGTGGCAGCTGGATGCAATCATCGCATGCCAATGTGCATTGGCTTGTTTAGTTTACACTCAAAGTGGATTGGTCTTTCTAAGCGAGATCCCAATTTGTCGGTCACCGACGTGACGTCTCCATTCCCTCCTTCAGGGAACGAGGGTTACATACTCCTTGTATTTTAAACCACATGACTCATGTAGGTCAAAGCAAGAAATTTACACCAAGCTGTAAAAAAAAAAAAATTAACAAACATATAGCTGTAAATTAAACATTAAATAGAGATGTTTTGAATGCCTGTGATTTTGTTTTGCTACACTTTTCAGTCACACTTTATTTTAAGGTCCAATTCTCATCATTAACAAACCATTACAACTTTTGCTTCAGTAAACTCTTAATTTGCAGCTTGTTAATAGTAAGGTAACTGTTAAGTTTAGGTACTGGGTAGGATTAGGGAGATATAATATGGTCATGCAGAACATGTGCTTTATAAGCACTAATAAACATCCAACATGTTAATAATAGCCATGCTAATAAGCAACTAGTTAGTAGTGAGAATTGGTCCCTATACTATAGTATTACACATTTTTCTTCTGGTAAAAACAAATTATTATTAAAAAAATGTTAAAAGTTCATGAATGTTTGTACTTACTTTAAATTGCCACAAAAAAATTCTGTATTCGGTAACACTTTATTTCGATAGTCCACTATAGACATTCTATTAACAGTAAGTAACTTTGAAACTACATGTCAACTAGCAATTAGTAGAGTATTAGTAAACTGTCTGCTTAATATCTTCTAACACTTTCTTTGTCAACTTATTCTACTAACCCTAAACCTACCCTAACAGTCTACTCTGAGAGTTAGTAGACATGTAGTTGCAAATTAATGAGGATTAGTTGACATGTAGTTGACATGTAGTTACAAAGTTACTTATAGTTAATAGAATGTCTAAAGTGGACTATCGAAATAAAGTGTAACCCTGTATTCTTCTGAAGTTTACTTTACACCAGTTTAGTCCAAGTATGGGAGCCAAACAGACGCTTTATTTATTTTTTACTTACCTCTATTGACTTCATGTTTACTTCAATTCCTTCAGCTATGGTGTTCCAACGTGCAGAAGGCCTTATTTGAGGAGGAAGAGAAAGTCAAAAACCTCTCTCAGAAAGTAAAGGTCCTGGAGAAAGCCAACAATCACCTGAGGGACAAGGTGAAGAACATGAAACGTCTCTTGAGGCAGGCCAAACGTGAGACCAAAGAGCCAGTTCAAAGCTTCAAACAGCTTCACGAAGCTGAACCAGAGTTACCACATCCACAACAGGACACCACCCAGGATCAAAAACTCACTCTCAGGAAAATCCTGCCCAAAAAAGCTTAAGAACTAAAAGCCATTCCTGCAATGGAAGAAATTCGATTACAGAAAATTACTGTGTATTGGAAGATCTAGACTAACTTTTCTTTACTGACTTCAGATGGTTTAGACAAACAGTTTTTTCATATAACTGGCTGTAAAATATAATGAAAAGCTACAATAGCAAAACAATGTTTTGACTTCACAATCATTAAAATATCATGATCCTTTTATCAAAATGTGAAAATATTGATGCATTGCAATGTTCAACCACAACATGGGGTTAAAGCTAATAAAATTCACATTTTTTTTTCATTCATTTCATTTCATTCTGACTAGAAGCAGATGTTGTTAATCAAGTAGAGCCTGACAAGATACAGCACAGTGTTTTGAATTTATTTGGACAGGTGTTCACATGGAAATACATTTTGGCACAATATAGCAACACTGACCTTCAGTCTACAAAATAAAATAAAATAAATAAATAAATAAATTTAAGAAAAAAAATCACCGTTTCCCATTAGTGTAGAAGTCGTTCATCTTAAAATTCCAAGAAACATTTACTGTCGAGTGCAAGACAGACCCAAAAAATCTGGTAAATCTGGTGTTGAGATTTTGTGTAGAAGTGTTTCCATACGTAAAGTCTTATTTGAACTTTTATGACTAAAATATAACCTTAAGAGTCAGTCTACATCATGACTCTGTTGTTTTGGGATCAGATTTCCTTTTTACATATGATTCCAATTTTTCATGTAATAATTCCAATTTATGTATTAGTTTCTTATGAGTTTTATAATTGCAAACAGGGTGCTGAGCACTTGATATATGTAATCTTTACTCAGTGAAGCTTATCTTAAAATGAAAATGTTCATCATTTAAAGAACAATTTACTGACAAGGTTTTGAAACAGTTATTGTTGTTTTTGTTAATCTGAACTGTCAATTATTGTTTCCTGTTTAACATATCCACATGTACGCCAATGAAAAATGAAATAAATGTCACATTTTCTTTAATCGTTGTCTATTACCTTTTACACGTTTTGTTATTTTTTGTTATTTTGTTTATTTTTGTTATATATGGATATCATAATAATGTCTTACAAGGTGGTGTAATTTTTGACTAAATAATGTTTTCTGATTTGATAATGTCCTCACCCTAAATTTTATGTAAGTAAATAAGTTGCTTTGAATAAAAGTGTCTGCCTAATAGTGTAAATATGAATGTCATAGGTGAAGGTAAATGGTAAAGTGTCTTGATTGCTTTGATTCATATACAAGCTGTCAAATGTGCTCATGCCAGGCTATAATCTGAACTTCATCCAAATGCTTATTTTAAAATGATCCAAATTACAGTTTCAACAGGAAGTACTTCAATGCAGGACATGTCTATTCATTAATTCATTTAAATGGGCTTGATTTTCCCATTTAATTTGATAGAAGAAGGGTTAATATGTTGCATCCAGAATGTACAATATTTCATTCAGTCCAAGACACATCACTAGATTGAAATTGGGTCCATGAGGCTTCTGAGACCGGAGAAAGATGTCCTTCTTCTTATCATGTCAAATCTCGGGAATTTGAAGCCCTTGGAGGAACATTGTTTCCAAACACATACACACATTAGCCAAACTTTCTGACTTAAACTTAGAATAATTTTAGACCTTACTGAGGATACCAAAGGGATCATAAAGGCTGTCTGGTTTTCTCCCTGTGTTTGAGAAATGAAGATCATTTATGACTTATCCAATGTGATGCTAAGCCAAATATAAAGTGCAAAGTGAAAATATTTCCTCAGATCCCAATCTTTCCTCTAACGTTTTTTGAACATATTCAAAGAAAAAAAAAAAACATCATTAATTGATCATGGATTTTTATTTTTATTTATTTATTAATTTTTTGTTAGATCCATTGCTTGATAAATTTTTCTCAACGCTATTTCCAGGAGTTTCAAACCCCATCATTTCCATATGTGTGTGACTGTTCATTAAAAAAGGTGTGTGTGTGGGGGGGGG